AACTCCGGAGAGTCGGTGAAGAATTGTCAAATACCTCGATTTGCCATGCTGCTGCATTCTTCTCCAGCTTCGTTCTCTTTCCCTCTCTCTCTCTCTCTTCTCTACCTCCCCCCCTTTGTTCTTTTTTCCTTCTTCCTCGATCTCGTAGACGAAACTCCTCGGGACGGTCCGCGAAAATCGTTTCCGACGAAAGGGATAATCAATAATTGGCACGTACTAAGACCTTATCGAGAATAAATTGACAATATGCACTCCTCTGATAGGCAAAGACATTACCTGACGGAAATCAACAGGGTCAAATACCCGGGTGAGTTATTGAAGTTCAATTGTCGCCAATCCTTAATTAGCCTCGTAACCTCCCCTCAGAAGAGTTTTCTTTTTTTTTTTTCTTTTTTCCCAAAAATCATTTTGGAGGGTCCAAATTTCACTTATGCCGGATAAGTTCTATTTCCAGCCATGTGGATACCCCCGTTATCTAAATAGAAGTTCCAAAGTGGCTTGTTATAAGCAATAGATGTGTATGCATGCATGTACATGCCTAGATTCGTTACATATATCCAGCGGCTTAACGAATATCCATGTCGTCGATCGCCGTCTTATGCAACTTAAATCCCTCAAGTGACCACCATTTTGCTACTACCGACGTACCTTAAACAGGATATTTATCTACCCAAGCAGAGAGGTTTAGTAATTGCCATCAATTACCAAATACCGCAACGCCGGCAGCAGACAGAATACGAAACCTCCGTATATAGAATAATAACTAACATATGGACTCATCCCAACAATAGACAATCCGCACACACAATGCTCCGTCCGAGCAAATCTCAGTCTAGACCCCCCTCAACATCCATACTTCACCCGTTACCAAAGTACGAAATATACATTGCTTAAGGAGTACTCCGGGCCGGACACAAACCCACATCGCGTCCAATAGTCTGTCCCAACCCTGGGGGTGTAATATTCCTTTTAGGAAAATTGATATCACACCGGGTAGATCCCCTACTCAATCTGGACTGTTTCTCTACGCCCATTAATATTCCTAATGAAAGTCTAGATAGCGGATTCCATTTCAATTGATGGAGGATAAATGCAAGTAACGGTGTAGTTCCAAACGAGATATCAGTCACCCAGCCCCCTTGGCACAACCCCCCGTTACATCATAAGTGTGTAGGCTGTATACGAGAGACAGTATATTCCCGCCAACTTTTCTTTTTGGCACTCTGGGTTGGTTGGTACCCTTGTCTTGGGAATCTGAGATAAATGAACCTACCTCCACCAGGGCGCCCGGTTGCATATATGTGGGCACTCAATTCAGAATTTTATTTGTTTATGTTAGGGGTATATTGCGAGAGGGTCGCTGATGTGATCGCGATGTGATATGTCTTTTATTGATTCCTATGTAGAGGAGAGGCCAATCAGCTGGACTATTGTGGATCGAGGGTGTGGCGGTGATCGAGGAACCTAGAGGGCTTTGCAGCTTACTTTTTATTTTTTATTTTTATCTGCTTTCTGTGGTGATGATGGTGAGGCTTGTTGGCTGGGCGAATACCCGTACATATGTATGTATATGTCTAGGTGTTTATGTGATTAGTGCTACATATGTAAAATGCTTACAGGGGTTGGATTACGGCAGAGATACATGGTCTATATCATTTGGTCTTATTGCAGATGCTGTAAGAAAATTTCATATCACAATACCTGAGTAGATAGATGTATAGACTGCAATATGCGGTGGTATATACAATGCGTGCTTCCATCACAGCGCGTTCTCCAATCCATTACGTTCATCTCTTCCTCGACGGCCGGGCATTCTTGTCTCTTCTCTGCTGCTTCAGCTTCCTTGCCAGTCGGATATCATCTGTGGATTTCAGCTCGCTCCTGCCACCTGCAGCCGCGCCTCCAGCCTTGGACAGCTGGCGCTGCTTGGCCGCTTCGCCCTTCTTCTTCATCTTCTCGTAGTCGCCACGTAGGCGGTCGGCCGCCTTGGGCGCCTGTTCCTTCCGGTGCTGGAAGTGTCGTCTCCTCATAGCAGTATTGAGCTCATGGGCAAGAGCAGGGGTCTCTTCCTCACCCACACGTGGCATACGGCCCAGACGCTTGCCCTTCTTCCATGCGTCGAATCGTCCGCTACGGAAGGTGGAAGCAATTTTGGCACCAGACTCACCCTTAACAAGACGTGTACCCTTGGATCCATCTTCGTCATTCTGGCGTGACACGTACTTCTTGTGCCGCTTGTCCCAGCGCATCATGGTACGGGGTTCGGCGAACCCACGAGCACCCTCATCACCAAGTAGATCCATTGTAGCGCTACGCGAGGCTTGGGTAAAGTTGGCATTGGTACCAGTGTGTACACCATAGGCCCTATCTTCAGCCAAGTTTGTATTGGATGGTGTATAGGACATGAAGTATTCTGGGTTTTGGAAAGATGTTGCGTTGTCCTTCTTTGCCTTGCCACCGTTATACGAGGAGAAAGTGACTTCAAGATCCGACTCGGACGCCATCGACATGTTATCGGGCACTCCTTCGCCGACATCCTCATCGTCATCTGACTGGGCACCGTTCTCCTCAGTCTCGTCGACTTCTCCTGTGTTTCCACTGGGCGCATCCTCCACGAAGTCTGATTGCTTCTCAGCCATCTCCCGTTTCTTCTTCTTGTAATCAACGGTAGTACGGATTCTCTTGATGGTGTCGATGGCTTCATCGCCTTCGTGCTTGCCATTGCGTCGGTTGTGTACCTCAAAAATTGTTTCCTGCGGCCGGTAGCCTCCAATCCGGGCAAGCATCTTCTCACGCTCTACTTCCATTTGACTTTCTTGGTCATTGAAGAGAGGATGTATGGCTGTCCAGTTGTCGGAAGATACAACCTGTTTTGCCCGCTTAGCACTTTCAAGAGAGGCTGAATTTCGTGTTCGCATATAGAGCTTCTCTCCCTTTCCAGCAATAGTCCGTTGACCGTAGATGTCGGCTTCATTTTCCAGAACCTTTGTAACCCATTCACAGCTCGTAGACAGGCCATCTCTAGGCAAGCTGCCGACGACCACATCTTCAGCATAGTTAACCTGGTCACCATGCTCGCGGCCAATGACAAGTCTCCTTCCAAGGAACAGTTGCAAATCAAGCATATAGGGAGCATCTGCGTCCCGGACCAAGCTGTAACTCCAGCCCTTCCGGCCCGCACGAGCCGTACGACCGACACGGTGAACAAAGATCTTAGGTTGAGATGGAAAGTCGTAGTTGATAACGTTAGCAAGAATTGGAATATCAATACCTCTGGCCGCAACATCTGTAACAACGAGGATATTCGACAAACCCGCTCTGAAGTTCTGGACTTGAATTTTTCGAGCTGTCTGGTCCAAGGAACCGTAGACATAAGAAACCGCAAATCCGGCCTCATGGAGTAGAGAGTATAAGTAATCCACATGGTGCTTCGTTGCTGCAAAAACAATAGTCGAATACTTTGTGGGAGACTCCCGGAAGTTAATGGCCTTATCATCCCCTCGCTTCCGCTTCTTGAAATTCTTGCTATCACCCTGCTCCTTCTGGCGCTGTGAGGCCTCAGTTGGGCCAGTGGGCATCTTAATGACTTCGTGGAGGATGTGAAGCAGAGCACCTTCCTTTTCTGCAGACTTGACAGAGAAGAAGACGTTCTCAAGATCCGGCGAAATCTTGCTTTCGGTATCTAGACGAATAAGAGTAGGCTCCTGTAAGCCAGCACGGGCGAATTCCACCAGCGACTTAGGCAGCGTCGCAGAGAACAGCAGAGTCTGTCGGTTCGCAGGAAGGCCGTGCAAAATTTCCGTAAGCTGATCAGCAAAACCCATCTCGAACAGTCGATCAGCTTCGTCAAACACAACATAACGAATACTGAACAAGTCCAGATTCATCTCGACCTTCAAATGCAGGAAACGTCCGGGCGTCGCAATCACAATATCAGGATTACCCGCCATCATACTGAACTGTTCCTCCAAACTATCACCACCAACAAGAAGGACAGACTTCAAATCCGTGCCCTTTCCAAGCTCCCTCACAACCTTCAGGGTCTGCAAAGCCAATTCTCTCGACGGCGATAAAATCAGTCCACGAGCTCCGACCTTGGTACTGTGACTTTTCAATTTCTCGATCATGGGGATAACGAAAGCAGCGGTCTTTCCGGATCCGGTACGCGCCATACCAACTACATCCTGACCATCCATAATCACGGGAATAGTTTTGCGCTGAATAGGAGTCGGAACAGAGAAACCCTTGCGGGTAATAGCTTTCAACAGGTGCGCATTTAGTCCCATAGCTTGGAAACCACCTCCCTTCTTGACGGTACGGCCCTTAAGATTAGAAGCCTTCCTGTTGGCCGAAGCTTGTTGTCCTGCGATGAACGCCTCGTCATCTTCGTTGTCGTCGTCAACATCTCCTCCAAGGAAATCAAGCGTCTGAGGTGGAGCCGTCTTCTGTGGCCGCTTTGTCTGTTTCAAAGACGTATCGTTGTCGGAATCGCTGTCATTCTGGAAAAGCGCATTCGTGATATCGAACTCATTTTCTGACGCCGCTGGCGACGCTGCGCGGCGAGGCATCTTGGCCTCTATTGACTATCGTACCTATTCGCCAGCAAAAGCGGCGGTACAAAAAAAGTTCACTGAGAAAGGGACCAAAATTCTTGCGTAGAAAACTTCATCAACAAAAACCAGGGTATCTCAAACAAAGCACCAACAGTCCCTGTGAAGAGCGATTGAAAACAACGAGAAAAGACAATGTTCCTCTCCTCGTCCGATTAATTAGCTCTTATCGATCCTCAACTTTTTTTGTCGGCGGTGGAGAAAAAAGTCAAGGCGGTCAGGGATCAAAGTTGCTCCGGTGTGTTATGCAAACCTCTCAAACAGATGGGTCCCCGCAACGCGTCCAACGCGTCCAGAAACGGTAAAATGGCGATAATTGCTTTCCGTTCACGAAGTCATTGACGATAGAGCTCCAAGTTGCATAGCTTAGTTCAGCACAAATAATACAAAATGGGTAAGTCTTTGTCTTGTCATACATATACTAGTAATAGCTTTTTCTTATCCACCGTTACTGATATTTTTCAGATAATTATGGTTACGGGTCTTCCTCCTTTGGAAGCGGTGGCGGCTTCATGCCAGGAGAGACCAACAGCCCCGCCGGTGGAAAGGTATGGATGAGTTCTAGATCACGGATGACTTGAGATGCTCCTTCCGTTATTCTAAGCTTCATTCTGGCTCATACTAAATCTAATATCGTATACAGAGCGCAGACGGCAACAATACTACACTCCGCCCCATCACAATCAAACAAGCCCTCGACGCAACACAACCCTATCCCGAAGCCGATTATCAAATTGACGGCGCAGATGTAGGCAGCATTTGCTTTGTCGGACAAGTTCGCAACATCAGCACCCAGAGTACAAACATCACATACAGAATAGACGACGGGACGGGGGAGATCGAAGTGAAACAATGGGTTGACTCGGCCACGGCGGATACCATGGACACAGATGATGGCAAAGCAGGAGCAGGAAAAAGCCAGGTCGTGAACAACGGATATGCCAAGATATTCGGGAAATTAAAGACGTTCGGAAATAAGCGATTTGTAGGATCACATTGCGTGCGGCCCTTGACGGATATCAATGAGCTCCATTGCCACATGCTTGAGGCTGTTGCAGTGCATCTTTTCTTTACCCGTGGTCCTGTTGGTGGCTCTGGCGGCAGTGGTGCCGCTGCTGGTGAAGCAGGGGGTGCTGATGCCTCTATGGGTGGTGTTGATGATTACAGCGCCGGCAGAGGCCTTCCTGCCATGAGCCCCGTGGCAAGAAGGGTGTACAATTTGTTGAAGACGGAGCCTCAGAGCAATGAGGGTCTACATGCTCAGCTCATTGCGGCTAAGCTGAGTTTGCCCATGCCGGATGTCGCCCGCGCTGGTGATGAGCTGCTCACTGCTGGTGTGATTTTCTCGACTGTCGATGAGCAGACCTGGGCTATATTGGATTATTAGATTTATGGTGTCGTTCTATCTTTATTACCTACTTGCTCGCGTCTATGCATATATCTGGAAAGCAAAAGGCGTCGAGTTTATGTTTTCGTTGCCCCGATAATACACGTTACGTTTCATAATCCTGATGATAATTCAAATCTCATTTCTCCTACTACTTTCCAGTATTTCATTGAACACTAGCTATAGAACTCAGTGCTAGAACATGATAACAACACAGCAAAATTCTATACAATAAGTGAACGTTAAAGATACATATCAACGTCCAACTTGGCTTCATTCCAGTAAACAGTCGTTATAAAAATACTTTCCAGAACCTTTTTCGTTATCCCACAACCTTATGTAGGCAGAAAAGGTTTAACATCATCTTCGGCAGACAACAACAATCGATGGATGGTATCGAAAACATAGGTTATAGCGTTATCTCATCATAATATGCGGATATCGATCATAATTCTATGCCATTGCGTTTCTCTGAATAGCATCTTGGACCGAACGGTTCCAATCAGTTTGTATCAGGAAGATCACCTCGATCACTGATACCAAGAGAAGGGCAAGAGCAACCCCGGACCAGAGTCCCAGTAAGCCCCAACCCATTCCAAATGTGGTCCCGAAGCTAATGGGCATTGCAACTGCATAGTAGCAAAAGAGCTGGACGTAACCGCCTATCTCTTGTCTGCCAATTCCACGAAGGATACCATTGCAGTTAGCTGCGAGGGCGTCAAATAACTGGAACGCTGCACACAATGGAAGGACCTGTGCTACGAGCTCGATCACTTCTTCTTCTGGGGTAAATAGTCGTGGGATGTATGAACGCAGGGAGGAGAGCAGCAGCATGTTGAGCATCCCTACGATGACAGCATACCCCATTGTCACCTTGGCTGAGATCTTGGCGGGACCAACAAGAGTTGCTCCGATCAGGTTTGCAACGCGGGTACTGCCGGAAATTGACAGGGGGAAAGGAATTTGGAACGTGATACTGGCGATGGTCGACAGAACCGACTGAGCAGCCAAGGGGGTTGTGCCGAGGTACGACGATGCTAAGGTTAGTACTTCAAAAGCGAGGCACTCAGCTTCTACCATTACCAGCCAGGTAAGGCAAGTCGGATCATTGGGCCCCAGTTGCGCAAGGCCTTGGTAGTAAGTCCATTCCAACATTCCGCGCCGTCAATGAAATACACATAAAGGAACAAGAATAGCGGCATCAGATTGTCTGTAATAGCTACTGCAATAGGGGCGCCAACAAAACCCCATTGGAATTTCTATCCTTCCGGTTAGTCGCCGTAAGATAACTGCAGCCTGTGGTGACTTACCCAAACAAACAGCCAGTTCATGAAGGCGTTTAGAGGTGCGCATATAAGTAAAACATATAGCGAAGCCGAAAAGAGTCCTTGAGCCTGCACATAACGCTTCCCGCTCTCAAAGCAAGCGTATCCAGGCGCCCCCAAGATGACAACCTTCAAGTACAAGCCAGCAAGTGCGGCGACATCCTTCTCCGGGACAATCTTCATGAGAATTCTGTCTGCAAAGAACCACAGTACAGCAATCGGGACAGTAATGGTGCAAAGGAAAAACACCATCTTTTGCATTTGCAAGCCTACCAACTTCTTCCTTCCAGAACCATATGCCTGTGAACACAGAGTGTCTAAACTGGTTGCTAAACCTTGGTATACTGCATATCCTGTAATGTTCGCACTCATGCTAGCTAAACTCACTGCACCAAGCTCTTTCTTGCCCAGATGGCCTAGGGTGAAAATGCTGGCTACTGTCAACGAATATTGGAGCAGGAAAGTGACCATTAATGGAGCAGCGTTTTTACCGATCACCCGTGCTTCCCGTCTCCACGTTGTGTGAATTAACCCAGCTGCGACAGCCTCTTCCCATTTCCTGTCAACCTCTTCATCGTCCGTGGCATTGTATTCGCGGCCACCTACTCGGCTCCCTAGGAGCGCTGTAGTTTCTCCTGAAGGTGCACTAGTTGGGGTTACACGCCGCTTCGCCCTCGCCTCCATGACATTATTATCGCTGAGAAGATCCCTTTCATCCTCAATGGCGCGTTCGCGTTCCCTGCGTGTCAGCCTCTCTCTTTCTCCAGTATATGGTACAACCGTCGCATGGGAGACCGTAGTGAAGAAGCTAGGGCGACGGTATGATCCAGCTAGAGAATGGGGGTTCGTGCCGGGCTGACTGTTTATCGCGCGAATAGTGGATGTTTCGGAAGCCTCATCGTCAGTAGTAATCATTGAGCCCTCGTCATCTGCATAATTCTCTAAATCTCGAGCAATTGCGGCCTCGGCGAGCGGGGAGCTAGATAGGAAGCGGCCATGTAAGGCTTGGTCCTCCGCTGAACGCGGAGTATTACCGCGGCCCATTGTGACGGTGATGTAATGGCACAAAGGGTGGGTGGAGAGACGTCAAAGCTTGGTATGTGTTGAGAGTTCTGATTTAAGGATACTTCACCATGGCTTGATGGCGCCAAAGATATACAAGCTCGAGGGAGCTGTCAATTGAGAAATGCGGTGAATCAGAGAAAGAAGGGAGAGAGAAACGAAAACGGAAGCGGGGGCGGACGATGGTGTAGGTAATCATATTACGCTCCTTCAGCAGATTTTGCCTCTAAAAGAGCTTTCAGCCATTGAAATAAAGTTGTATGGTCCGTTGTATGGGTTGGATCCACTTTCTTTGGCTCCAGCCGATGCATGGGCCGTTTTTTGAGTCACCTCGTATCGACTAACGTTTTCTTTCTCCTCAATCAATACAGAGTAAAGTTCTGCTGATATACACAGGTATGATCGAGTAAAGTTAATAGATGAAGGAATCATGCTGTATTATTATTGTACATAAGCCAGACTAAAATTTGCAAGTAGCCCCCCCGCAAAGCGGACCCCCACCATGAACCTTGGAGGGTGAGAAACGATCCATAGAGAAGGGTTCGCGTGGTGGAGGTGTCGATCCAAGATCTATTAGCCATGCTTCGTCTCTTTAACATCAGTCATTAGAGTGCTGCCGCGAGATCTAATTCGTTTGATCCGCGTTGATTATGAACCAACCCAGTCAGCCCAACACAAGCCACGAAGAAAAGCGCAGGCCAATGCCAGGGAGATTGACCATGCAGGGATTAGGGACGTCATTCCCGATTGAGACTAGACATGCCAATCACGTGGGTCTGTCATCAGATCTCTGACATATGGAAACTCGACTCAAGAGCATGCTCCCTAGCTCTGCTCCTTAAGGAGAAGGATGCGACTTATTATTCTTAATTGTTATATTGCCGCGGTAGTGTTTCACCCATACTTTGGTTGGCATATCGACCCCCACTATGCCAGAATCTACAACAAGCCAAAATGCTGCTTCTCTTCGGCCACGGTTTAATCCGGTGATCAACCCGGCAAACTCATGCCCCGTTCTGGTAGACGAGTAAGCGCTTCTAGCCCCTATGAGCAATATTTATTTCTTGGGGATGTTCAAAGCAAGAGCCCGGGGGAAAAAGAGAACACTTGGGACTGACCCCGAAAAAGACACCTAGAGGACAACCATCATATCTTCCTATCCCGTCCCTGGCTTGGAGCCCTGTTATTCGAAAATGTCACCTCCGACGCCCGCGATCACTGCGCTAACGAACGAACATTTCTGTCCTGGCTTCGTCTTTCTATGTACCTTGCGGTCGTTTCAGTAGCTATCATCATATCGTTCCATTTTCATGGCGGGCCGACCGGACTTGAGCGACGTATGGCGCTGCCGCTGGGTATTATTTTCTGGATCCTTAGCTTAGCCTGTTTGGTTAACGGATTTGCAAACTATGTGCGCACTGTGCGAAAGTACAGTCGTAAAGCGGCTTTGGTACAGAGCGGATGGAAAACACAAATGACATTTACAGTGGTGGGGACTGTGATTCTCGGGAGCTGTATACTGTTCTTGGCAACGGATGCAAAAAGTAATAATTAAGAGAATGGGATTGGCTTTTTTTCGCTTAATAGAAGATCCAGCCTTGAGCAGGCTTTCTAAACAATGCACTATCGTAGACCCATGTCATGAGGAAATAGGACGCCAAATCGTAACAAGAGAGAAGGGATCTGTCATTAGCCCCAAATAAATGAAGATAGATACCTATAAACATAAAATAAGTCCCGTTCATACATTAATAGTGCATTTGACTGGCCCATGCCATGGTATCATAATTCGAGGAAGCGGACGGGAACAGTCGAAAGATACCCGCTACGTTGCAAGACAAACGGATAACATCATATCATCAGTTTCCGTAGAGTAGAATCTCACATACGCCGGATTCCTTTCTCGCCCTTGTACTGCTCCAGGGTTGGAGAGCCGAGGTGGCTCCACCATTCGAACAACATCGAATTGCAGATGAGTTTGAACCAGGGCGTGAATTTCAACCCCGGCTGCTCAAACATCGCCTTCAATTCGTCAGCCGAGACGTACTTCGTGTCTCGAACTTCATTCGCGCTAGGCTGCAACTCTACATCGGCTTGAATGAAGAGGATATAGTCGACTTAATGATGTTAGTTTTCGACGACAGCTAAGTCATGAAGTGAATGTCAAAGGAGGTGGAACATACTCTCATGCTCTCCCCATTTCCCATCGCTAGGAGCCTTGTAATGGATTCTCGTGAAAAACTCGAACTTATCCAGGGGTACTTGCTCCGGCTTAATTCCAAGCTCATGTTCCAACTTCCGCTGTGCAGCCCGCTTCACGCCCAAGATAGCGGCATCCAACTCAGAACCAGTCTCGCCAGCAATTCCAAGGGGGTGAGAGCAGCAAGTGTTTGTCCACATATCCGGGAATGTGATCTTCTCACTGGCACGCTGTTGGAGGAGCAAGCGCTTGTTGGAATCGAAGAGGAACACGGAAAAGGCACGGTGGAGAAGGCCCCGGTCAATGTTGGTCATGAGGTGGCCTATTTTTCACCAAGCAATTAAGCCGTCAGTAAACGGTATTGGCAAAGAGAGGAGGCAAGACGCTAGCAGGAAAAGCGCACTGCACCAGACGAGTACTCATGTAAAGGGAGGATCTTACAGATCTTTTTGCTGGCACTTCCAATAGGTTTGTCATCATCATCCAGAACGATGCATACTTCATCCATCAGACGGACTTGTTCCTCGTCGTAACCCGCCAGCTCGGTGCTGCTAGCTGCAGAGGGATTGCCGTCGGCTTTGGGAAGGACTTCACGAGCCAAAGAAGTATCGACATCTGGGAAGAGAGTAGCAACATTTTCCGCCGTAATTCTAGGGGTTTCGGTAATTGTAGTAGTTGCGCTCATTGTGACAAGTGGTGTATGACGCTCGCAATCCGAAGTGGTATTGTGCAGGCCTTCTGGAGGGGAAAGGGGATGAAATAATCCCCGCCCTTCAGAGGCGGTGTATCAGAGCAAAATTAGTGGAGGATCTGGAACACCCGCTATTGGGCAACTGCAATCCTCTACCTATCCTCTACTACTAGTAGTACCTAGTAGCGGTGGCTATACAGACAAACAACCTACCTACTAAGTTCCCTGCAAGCCTCCACGTAATTCATTGCAGAAGGTATCTCATACAGAGTGCAATGTCACCCACTTTCGGCTGGCTGCTCATTTTCCATTTTGGTCACACCAATCATCGCTCGGCCCGAAGTAGTAGCTTGCTGTAGAGCATGTCGAGAACATTCGAACGCCGGGCCTCCTTCCTACTAGTATATGAGACAAGGCTACCGCCGCGAGCACTTCCATTTGCCAGGTATAGACTGTGGCTATCGTAGATCTAGGATGGCTACTGGATATAGTAGCACGCAGAAAGATAGAATCCCATGTAGCTGTCTCATAGAACTCATTGGTACCCTCGATATGTCTAAACCATGCATAGCGACAGTTACACGAGCTATGTAGTACTGACACAGCATTCTGTACATGTCTGAGGTGGCGAGATGCCATGGGTCGTGCCCCGCATATATAAGATCATGGGACGTCAGCTGCAGCCATCTTCTCAATTTAGTAGACGGGTGGCTTATAGTTCCGCTCAGTTGGTCGGCCTTAGCAGTCAATATCTAAATCCATTGATCACTGCATGTCAAACCAGGGATAACGTACGAGGTAGGTGTTGGTCGTGCTAGTCCTAGCTAACTTTTTGAAGCCGTGATTCCTATTAGCTAGCAGCGAATGGACGGAGCTAGGTATTTCCCTTGTCATGCCTATCACACGATAACCCAGCTACAGCTTTTTAATATGACTAACGGATGAAAGCTAATTGTGTAAAAAGCGAACTGGTGATGGAATCCGGACATGCATGCCTTCTATCGTGGCGACAATCAATAGCATCCGCATTCCGCAACGAGATCTCCGATGTCCCTGAAGACGGAAATACAACAAGGGAAGAAGTAGTGCAGATCTGGCCCAATCCTGATAGAGGTATGCAAGATATAAAACGAAAACAATAGAGATCCCGAAGATCGACAGCACTCTCATGGTAACACGGTTATATCTTAGAAGCCTGCGTACTATTACTGAGTCGTGACATCGGGATTTGGATATCGGCCACTAGTCAACTTCGTAGCGATATCTTTTGTAGTCCTATACTTCTCAGTAAGTTAGCACCTGGCTGTACAGGGATACCGCCTGCGTATTTCTTGTCGTAGCAGACCAGCAAAGATATGGAGGATGTGAAATTCTTCTTAATGTGTGAAATTGGCCGTCCCTGATATACGCTTGTGCTTAATAGTTAGTGTTATGCTTATGTTGGTTTGAAAATAGCCAAAAGTCTCCGGGATGCATTCCAGAAGTACCTCGATTGGGATTAGTGTACACTCCCTTGTCAGCCTCAGCTGAACTGAGACAGAACACACTGAACTGTATTGCTGCACATGACCTGTGGTGGCAATAGCAGCAAGGGTATTTGAACCAACGCACAGGATATGGATGGATTCGTATCTTGGCACATTGTGCCTTGCTTGGTCTAGCTTGTACATACAAAGCCCGAGGAGATAAGGCTGGAGATACCGAATATGCACGTATGTACAGATGTGCCTGTGGCCAGAACTTCACATGATAGATTACAAGGATGTTTACTAGATCAATCCATGGTTGTTAATTCGAAATTAATAGCAACCCTGATTACAATCCCAGAAACTTCTCCTTTCTGGAGTTATATCGCGAGTCGAGGTAACGCACTAGGAGGATGATACCTTGTTATTACTAGGTAAACAAACAAAAATACAGTGGGTACCGAAGTAATCGGAGTTACTCCAGAGTCCCTTCAAGTAGAATTAGCCTCTAGTTATTCTTTGCCTATCAATATCTGCAACTAATATTGACTTTGAGTACAAACAAAACAAAACCAAGCCACATCCGGAATCTGCGCGCCTTACCCGTAACCGTCCTGGGCTCGCTGAGAGATCAAATTGAGCCAGATGGTTGATGATTGATTTATTAGGTTGCCAACATAATGACTAAGTTTCCGGAAACCCCAACCTCCAGCGCGGGATGACAAATTCTTTCATCGGCCCTTCTTTTACTATTTCCTATTCAAGAAGTCTATAGTTATAGTTACCTAGGTATGTTTATTGAGTAACTATGTTTGGTTCAATCTTAAGAAGTACGTATTCCATTCTCCCCGCAGCCAATCCAGGTAATGATCTGGTCCACCCTTTTGTTATGAACCAGCTAATGGCATCATGGAACCTATGGGAAATCTGACCCTGGCTTCCCAAATTTCCGAGGCAGGTTAGACGCTATAGCCGTAGCCACTTAATGGCGTTGCTTGGGGACGCGCTTGTTTGAAACTAAAAGATTTAGGGCTGCTCTTCCAGAAATTAATCCACCCGTAAACCGTTCCAGACACTTGTTCTACTTTTAAGGCGGATTGTCGGCCCCGAGCTTCAGACGGCCGAACTTGCTTAGCGAGAAATGGTCACTCGCTACAAGCGCGATCTCATCGTAAGGCTTTGCTACTGTGATAGTAGTGGTCATGACAAGCATATCGACATATGTATAAAAATAACGGATTCAGACTCCTCTGGTTCTCAGGCACGGACGGAGCTGCGGGTTTTACTCTGCGCGGAGGACATTGTCTCCCTTCGGCCGCCTTATATTTCGTACTAGGTAGTGAGCAGTTTGGTAAATACTTTGGTGATCGCCCGGGTCGCGTACGGGGAAGCTTCCGTGGTAAGATACTAGGTCTCATTAGCTTGACCATCGCATGAACCCGACAAATGAGCTTTCAGAGAAGGTGACCAGCAACGCTATTTGAGTTTCGCGACTTTGTGGACCTGCCTAGTGTTGTTGTTGGCGTCTATAAGGTTCCAGAGCCGTCGGCTCGTGCACGGAACAGCTTAGCCGACGTGAATATCCCGTTGAATCCTACTTTGTCCGGTTAGTAAAACAGAGACGAAAATCCAAAAGAAAAGACAAGAAAAAAGGAATCAAGTTTATGATTAACAAGGCTTTTAAGCATCAAATCGTTCATATCCATATGTTCAAGTATGGGCCAGCCATTCGATGATACTAGTTCTAATGACAACAAAGAGAGGGAAGAAAAAAAGAAAAGGAAAACGAAAGGAGGGAAAAGACAAAGTAATGACAATTCCAAACTCGAACAACATTATTCAAAAACCAGTGATTTATGCAAAAGAATTTCATAAAACAATGCAGGTAGCCACCTCATCCACAAGAGCATTCATTATGTTCCAGACAAATGTACATCATTCATTGCTGAACTGAGACGTTATGCGTATAACCGTAACTACCATATCCGCGATCAACGCAGTAATGGTTAACCGTATATCTTGATTTTTTCTCGATCACTGTGCCAGACATACAGCTATTGCTTCGGTAAGGACTGCCGTCGTTTGTTTCTGCCGTGGGGATCTTTGGGAGGAAGTCCAGGGACGTGTTGCGACGCTTGAATTGCTTCGAACTTTCTGGAGACACCCGTGCGTCGTGGTCTTCGAGGACAACCGTCTGCTTTGTGTCTATCATATCAAACCATATTAGCTTGTATACACATATACACCATGATATATTAGCTTTTTTACCTCGAGAGTGTATCTTGTCGGCTGAACCGTAGGCCACAATCCTCACAACCGAATTTTCGGATTCCATGATGAATCTGTGTTTCTATCAGCCATGTATTCATAAGGAAACCGCAATTCAACTCACACTATCTACATGTCGCCGAAGGTCAGTCCTTCTTCCGAATGGCTTATCGCAGAACTCGCAGTGGTACGACTTTCTGAGGCTTGGGTCATGCCTCTTCACATGTTCGCGACAGTTAGAACGTCGAGTGAACTTCATACTGCAGATGGGGCATTCAAGGCCACTTGCAGATGGTATCTTGCACCGCTCATCGGGGAGGTCGCTGTCGCTTTTCGTCAATTGAAAGACTACTTCAACAGGAGCATTTCGTGCTGTAGGCTTTCGGCTCTCATCCCTCTGGCATCCCAGATTTGGGTTTAATTCGACCAAAGTACCATTACCGTTATTGGAAAAGTGTTGAGATGTTGAATAAGCATTGTTGCTCACTATGTGAGGCATTTGTGGCATCGAGCCAATTCCCGTAGAATCACTGGCCTTTGTCAAAATGTGTTGCTCCCAACTGTCGTCAGGTTCTTCCTTCACTCGGGGCTGGATCTCGGGATTAGCAGCGTCGGATTGGGGGGTATTCGGCCAAAAGCGAGATGAGGGGGCACTCAAAGTGCCAGAATTTCCGGCGAAATCCATAGCAGAGCCATAGCTAGAAGAGGCGTTCAGAGTTTGCGGGCTGTAGTAGGTAAGGGGCGAGACAGAAACATCAGAATGAGCACCAAATGGCTCGTAGCATGGCCCTGGAGAGAAATGACCGACGTCCAGCGTCGTCTCGAGAAGGGATTCGGGAGGGATCATCTGATTCGGCCATTCTGTTACCGGCGATGGGTATGTGTCGGGTGGAAACAGCCTTAACTGACTGGATGGGTCTTCCATCTCACAATGGGAGATTCCTAAACCAGTGGTCGACTGCGAGTTGCTCGGATAGCTTGAGACAGAGCACATAGGCGATGAATAAGCGGAAGTATCTTCCAGCATTATGTGATTTTCCGGTGGCGATCGAACGAAGGGCGAGGGCGAAGAAAACGATGTAGGAGCCTGCTCCATTCTCAAGATACACAATCCTGTTTGATCAAAAAGAACAAGAACAAAGAGAATAGAATAATACAGGGAAGAATGAAGCGAATGTGGGAGGTAGTGGCGCCAAAACACAATTGTGCTATCCTCACGCTCGTTAGACTTTTACCTAACAAGTGGGTAGCTCGCGGATTCGAAGACTCTATATTTGATTCGAAACACGAAAGGTAGGGGAATAAATATCATCTATATAAGTACTGGTGACTCAGTAGCATTTCTGCTGATAGGTGAGGTCAGGAACAGGCATAGACTGTGGCTGATGGCTATCTCGATAAACCGAGCCATATGATAATTGGAGGGGAGTTTCCGCCGCAATGACACGATGAAGGGCCGTCAAGCAGTGACCTTGACGCCTGGTCAGCCAAGGCAGATTCGACGGACTGGATGTGCATGGATGCGGTGAACAAGAGCCACAGAAGAAGGGAAGAAGGGTGTAGGGGTGTGGGAAGTCTAGCTGGGGGAAAGGGCCGGACCGGGTTGTCTGCAGCCCATGTCTGCAACATTGAGATAGGCGCGATAATCCCAAGTCATGCACAATTCCTTAGCGCCGAAAAAGTGTGATCAGGCCAAAGTATCAGTCATTGCCGTAGGGTTAGGCAAGACAGTGTTAGGCATTGTTTTTGATTAACAATTGGAGGAGCCGCCATTGTGGCCAGGGTTAGTGTGTTTGCCCGAGTAGGCTCCAGGCAAAATTGGAAGGGAAATAGAAGGAAAAAAAAAAAAAGAAAAAAGTAGCTAGCGGGGAGTGGGAGACAGGGGTGTAGAGTAGTGTCGTGTCATGTAGGATAGCAACGAGAGAAGGCTCATCTCGACGGGGATGTTTGTGAGTGAGTGGGTTCTGTTCGTTTAGATCGAATGCAAGAAAAAAGACCGCATCAGTTCACGACAACCAGCGCTGAGCAACGAAGGCACCACCACTACCACAGCAGTAGCATGTATGTATGGGTACGGAGTATGGAACGTATGGAACGTATGGGACCGCTGACACCCCCCGATCACCGCTGGCCAGTCAAACACCAGCGCACACTTCACCCACTGCTCTTTCATCAAAGAGGTTTAGTGACGACCCGACAGTCTGGTAACCTTACTTGGCAAAATAGCAGTGCGTGTCTCCCAGTCTGATTGGTAAACACAGCCGCATGATCCGAGAAAAAAGGGGAGAGAGGGGTAGGAGACTAACGCAGTCTGTCATGGAGGATAGAAATGAAATGGTGAGAATGATGGAGCCTCCTGTTTAGGCAAGAGGGGCTCTCCGGCCACCCGACCCTTGATGGGACCAGCAAATAATCATATCTCTGCAGGCTCGCTGGTTTACACCATGAATCAGTTGTTCTCCTATGTAGGTGTCATTGGCTATCGTTCTTTTCAGTTTGGTGTTTTTCTTTTATAGAAAAAAAAGAGACCATTCATGGTTTTGTTTACTTTTCCCGAAATTTCTCATTTTCTGTTGACGATCAGCGTGAAACCCTTTTGATCCATGAGTAGGTACGCCCATGTTAGATGCCACTAACCTTGTCCCGTCATGAGTTTCATCCGGTCATGCAAATAATATGGACGTTGTTGAAGATCATACGAGCTGAGACAAAATCAATACTCATCCCAATACATCATTGGAACAAGTAGCTGCCAATTATTCCATACGCCACCCCTCCAAAATCATAAAAAACCGGATGAAATAACCAAGGATCAAATAAAATAGAAATTTGGAACATAAAAAATAAGAAAAAGTTTTTTTTTTTTGGAAACACATAACATAGATGATTGCTCAATAACAATCTACTCAGAATTATTTCCGATTTGGAACTGGTAAAGTGACCGGTCTTCGCGCTAACCCTTTAGGCGAGCAGCAGTGCGTGCGTATATGGCAGTGGTCCGTCGCCTTTACTTGAATGTAGTCCACATTTAGCCCCAGTCCCTTTCTCCCCCTAACGTTCATTATTGAACTCGGTGGTGAAAGGCCACTGTGGCTGCCACTCGCTCCACTTGAGTGCGCAACCGTTCCACCTCGTCGATCATATCTGCGAGGTCAACACTCCCGGCCGGGCCCGCGTCTCGTCCACGCACCCCAATATACTGCTCTGGGTTAGGTTGTTTTCTGGCCCTACCGGAACTTAAAGAACGAGCATCAGCTGTGGAGAAAGCCAACCCAGTCTGAATCGATGACACGGGGCGACTACTTCCCCGTGCTGTGGCTATCGGGGGCCATTGACTATTTCTCCGCGAGACATAATGGCGACTAGATTCATAGGCCCAGATGAGTGCAACAAAGGGAAGGTGTGTTGCTCTGAGCAAAACGATGCGCACCCGGCGGATATGCTCCGCAGGCAGAAAGAGCCTCAACGGGCGGATACAAAGCAGAGGGATGAGGTTCTGTGTATCAAGGTTCCGTGGTTAGCGGCATGGATGAACCACAACACCCTTGCAGTACTAACCAATGGTGGCATGAAATAGGTTAGTCTTCGGGAATTACTGCTTTCCAACACGTAAATAGATAACCTGGTCCTCCACATCAGCGGGGAATCAATAGCGAGGAAACAGATACCAGTAAAACTAACTGAAAAAGATATTCTTCGCGAGCGTGAGCCATAACCTACATTAGATAGAATGTTGGGTAGACAAATTAGCATTCTTGGACGAATCAGGTTGGGATGCCCCACACTGGGCACTAGATTAAACATACCCCTTCCAGACTCATGCTCATGAGACTGACCAAAGAAGAGATCAGTAAAAGGTTCGTCATCGAGACGAAAATTAGCCTGTGATTTGCACACATCAGCTTCCATATTCCTCTTTTGATGTAACTAGACTTTTCATGCCAAGTATCGTGGGGTTATCGGCGTACGGCCCAAAGCGGCGCGTAGGTACAAATGCAACACCCAAGGCTAGAGGGGGAAAAAAAGGAAAATTAATGGAGCATGAGAGGGATAGATAGTGCAAAGACGGCGGCACTGAATTAGATAGCGCCATACTATCTCGAAAATCTTTCCAAATGTCGAACGTGATCGAAAGAGTATGCGGCCAAGGTCACGAAAGGTACATGTGGCGCAGTATATTTCGTACTGAAGGGCAAACTCACATCAAACCGTAGCCGAAGATCGGGGAAATCTAAGAATTAGCGCGTCAGTCAACTTAACGCCATAGCCAACCGATTTTCCAAACCCCCTTGCAATTTTGATTCGGGCTGCATGACAGCTGCTTAGCGCATTGTACTTACTTCGTGAGCGATGTCCTAATATCCAATCATTTCAGCCACCATTAGTTTGAAGAACACTTCTACGCCAACGGAATACAACGCACAAAGCCTAAGACGTTCGATCTGCCTCGCGTTGTTAGTAGGAGCAGTTCAACAACAAGGGTCTCACCGCAATACCCAAAGAACACCTTCACTAAAATCCAGGACATTTGCCTGAGGGAAAGTCGGTCACGGGCAAGCATGGTGAACGTCGTCAAGAACCCTGCAGTGCCACAATGTCATCATATGAGACTACGAGTACCTTCAACGCTCTAGCGTGCATCAGCGCCACATACCAATGTATAGAACAACTACAACGGGCATAAACCGGAAGAACGACTTTGTCTAGACCCGAGCGATCAGTCTTATCAGCTTCTCCGTCATCACACTAGCCCCGGGCGTGGTACCATCTCCTTCAAAACAGGTATCTATGCACAATACTTGTCAGCCCATTCAATGATATGCGTTTCTTTAATGCAGGGTCGGCGGGCCCGACGTACCAGACTCCCAAAATAGGAATTGAGGCTGACAAGTGAGCATATCCTGTTTGCCACCGTCAGATCCTAAACATGGACTTGAAACTTAATACCAGCAAGTGAAACTTGCCTTGGGACTAGGAATAATGCCTCTAATGAAAGTATATCAAATGACAAGTCTGTAATGTAATCGCTATCTTTGGCCAGCCCGATAATCCCTAGACAATTTTCAGATTTAGCACATAGATCGGGGCGAAACTAGGGATCGCTCACCCCGATGGCACAGGATCCTAGTCCAGCTGAAAGAGCTGAACTAACGGTAAGGCAGATTCACAAGAAATAATGACTCACTTGAAATGACAAAGGCAAGTCCGGTACCTATGATTCCCATATTCCATAGCTTCCAGAAGTCCATTTGATAAAAAAGCATCCCCGCATCTGCCATTCCGCTTACTTCATCATAAGCGAAGGCAGCGATCCAGAAATACATCAGTGTTTCAAAGATTCCTATACCCGTCGGCTTTCGTTCAACTAAGACCGCATAGTATAGGATTAAGAAAGAGACAAAGAAAGCCGCTTCAAACGCTTTGCGATATACTGGAACCCGTAACCGAGAATAAGGATCCGCTGTCCTGCATCACAAATGCACTTCAGCAATCGGCAGGAGCTTGGTAAGCAGTGGTCATGTTACCTTTTATTGAAGAAGTGTGGCTTCTTTGTCGAGTGCACGCTCAGGGTATCCCAGAAAACAATTTCTCCTTTCCAGATATGGTCAATGACTCTCTGTACCACTTTTTGGCTGAGAAATTTCTTTGCGTGGGCAATAGTTGCAATCTCTAGGGCATTAAGTCCAAAAAACAGAGAGAACTTCTCCAGTTCATACGCATCATGTGTGAAGTCGTGGGATCCTCGATTGTCACCCTCAAGTGAGCTACCTAGACGCCTGGTGCCGCCAAAGAAACGATACAAAGATGAGGACGAGCCCAGCAACAATGGCGCCCTCTCATCCTCTTCTAATGTCCTGCGATCAGTAGTAGCAGCAGAGGCATACCCAGAAGCACCAATTTCCGCTTGAGGAAGGTTGATGGCCTTCTGTGTGGGCCATGTGAGTTCCTCAAGCAGGTATTCAAGAGTTTCCCGCTGATTAAGATGACAGACAATTTGCCAGGCGACATATTCACAAGCGTATCCTCGACTTTCACTTACGCCCCAATCATAATCAGCAGCATTATCAAATTGCCACTTCAGTATCCTAAGACAAGTGAGTTCAAACTCCTCTGATAAGGAAAAGGCGTAAATATATCAGACTAAACTTACATTAATGCAGGGACTATATAAGTGTTATGTGAGCTTTCCACTAAAGAATGGATTAGCAACCTGAGACTATAGCCGTGAGAAGTAGACCCGATTTGTTCAAAGGTATATGAGACATCAGATATAGTCAATGTCAAATAACTAGACAAGAGCATGTCAGGGCCATTTTCCAAACAATGTAGTGAGAGCGCAAAATACTTAGATAGCTTTCGGACCACGTCAACTAACGGTTCGTTATCATCAATAATCGGAACCTCGGGATGGTCATTTCCTTGGGGCCCTATTGACGACGCAGAACAATCCAGATTGACTGAAGGCATAGTGGTCATTGGCTACCCAGGAGTTTCTCTCCCGGTCGGTGTCAAGGTCGGTCAGCCCTGGTGTCGGCTTCACGATCGAGAACCCTAGTAATGATTAGCAAATCCATCACTGGAAACATAGTCGTGGTCGTGACTGGACGTCGCGCTTCTTGACCGATTCCGTACCTTCGATAAAGTGGATGATGGCCTTGGCGTAGACTGACGACGAAATTCTTTATGGAGTAAACTGAATAGCATGGACCCAAGTCCTTTGACCCAATCTTCAAACACACACAATTCGGGATAAACACCTTGCAGGTATGATATGTCACCGAGGGGCACGAAAGGTGGAGTTTTGCAGAGCAGGATAAACGGTGAAGTAATATAACTCCATAATGGTTTGACAGGCTATCAGTAAGACGGGACCGGCTGTACTAAATTATGTCGTCTGATTGGATAAGGCAGTATTATTGAGCCTGATACTAGTAGTAGCTAAACAAGCTTTCCTCTTTGTACGGTACACCATCGCGTCTATCGGGCACAACCTATACCTCAAGCACCTATCTCAAGAGTTGACGATTGTTAAACATACATTTTTACGGCCGAGCTTTGGCAAGTCAAAAGGTATAACTGATTAGTAATTTTTCTTTATTGCCTAACCTTTAGCGATAAGTAAACACATCTTATCGAACGCCATGTATCTGCAAGATACCTCTCAATTCATTATATCCTTTATCCAATTTATTTTCATCGTTATTTTTCCCTAAACACGCGTCTTGTTCCACAACGATGATCATCATTACCGCGTAGTAACCTGTCTCAGGTGGTCCCTCGTGTCAATACGGCAGAGTTTACGGAGCACATTACACCGCCCGTATCATGTGACATGTACATTACCCAACAACGACCTTTCACCGCGTCAACATCTCCTTTGGAAGGTATGACTACCAACTACTCGTTTTTCTGTCAAAGCGGTATCGTAGATTTGCTCTGTATATTACACGGACGCTTCCCTTATCTTTGCGTTGATGAGCTACATTGTTTTCAAAGGCCTCTGAGATGAAGGAACCTCAACATGGGCCAAGGTTATTCACTTACAACCCTTTCAGCGGGTTCGGCCGGGATTGATATCCCAGAGCTGTCAGACTTGACATATGAGAAGTCGATGGGTGGTGGGAGATTTATGAAGAGTATCCGGGCAAGGCAGCAAAATGGCCTCGTTTTTGTTAAGGTAATAATGAAGCCATTTCCTAGCATGGAGCTAGAGTTATATGTCAAAGCTATAATTCGTACGTTTTTGTTTATATGCCGTGTGCCTACATGCCCAAGGCGCTCTAACTTATCAGGGTAGGGGAGCGCAAGCTGCTGTTGGATGTTCCCAATGCCTTGGGTTATCAAAGAATCCTTGAAACTGGTACCGGCGGTTACTTAGTTCGCCAATATATCCACAGCTCTCTTTATGACCGGATGAGGTATGTGCTGAACCTCCAGCCCACGGACTTTCTCTAACCGGCGTAGTACGCGACCTTTCCCAGAGGATATTGAAAAGAAATGGATTGCATTCCAGCTTTTGTGCGCATTGCGAGATTGCCATGCGCTCGATGTCTTCCATGGTGACATCAAAACGGAGAATGTCTTAGTCACATCATGGAATTGGCTCTATTTGTCAGATTTCTCGTCTTCTTTCAAACTAACATTCCTTCCGGAAGACAATCCTGCAGACTTTCATTTCTACTTCGACACCTCAGGGCGACGAACCTGCTACTTGGCGCCTGAAAGATTTCTAGAAGCTGGTGAGAAACGAGAATCTGAGCAAGTTAACTGGGCCATGGATATTTTTAGTGCCGGTTGTGTAATTGCAGAATTATTTTTAGAGTCGCCCATATTTACCTTGAGCCAAATGTACAAATATCGAAAAGGCGAATACAGTCCGGAACATGGCCAGCTGGCCAAGATCGAGGATCCGGAAATTCGGGCATTGATTCTTCACATGATTCAGATCGACCCGGAGTCAAGATATTCTGCAGAAGAATACCTAAACTTTTGGAAAAACAAAGCCTTCCCGGAGTACTTTTATAGTTTCCTCCATCAATATATGTCTCTCATGACAGACCCCTCCTCGGGTAGAACACAAGTTGAAGCTGAATCTGCCAACAGGGGAGAGGCCGATGACAGAATAGACAGGGTCTACCTTGACTTCGATAAGATTTCTTATTTCCTCGGTGCATCAACCAAGACTTTGAAGGATGGCTCTAATCGCACTTCCTCGAGGCTTACTGGCAATACTTTCCCTGTGCAGCTTGATTTGCCCCAGCATGGTCATCAAGGGCCCAAATCTCAGTCACAGGCAGACGATGGTGTTCTTATTTTCTTAACCCTCGTTGTATCCAGTTTACGCAACACATCGAAAGCGTCTTCCCGAGTCAAAGCCTGCGATATCCTTCTTGCCTTTGCTGAGAGATTGTCCGATGAGGCGAAATTAGACCGCATCCTCCCTTACATTATGATTCTTCTTAATGATCGCTCTGACTCTGTGAGGGTTGCTGCCATACGCTCGCTTGCACAACTACTGGAAATGGTCCATGTCGTGTCTCCCGTGAATGCTTACCTATTTTCGGAATATATTTTTCCAAGGTTGCAGCCATTTGTTTCTAGTTCCAATTCAGACCCAAGCCCGCTGGTACGCGCCGCGTATGCGTCGTGCATAGCATCGCTAGCGCAATCATCCCTCAGGTTTTTGGATATGATACAGGCGCTACGCACAGATACCCGCCTGCCAGCTTTGATACCAGCGGACTCTGAACTCAGGTGGACCGAAGACGCCACCTATCACAATCTTTATGATGTGGCAAGAGTTGATCTTCTGGAGTACTTTGAAGCCCACACCAAAGCTCTTTTGACCGACAGCGATGCGTCAGTTCGACGCGCGTTCCTTGGATCTGTCTCCAGCCTCTGTGTCTTTTTCGGTAATCTCAAGACTAATGAGGTTATTTTAAGCCATCTAAATACGTATCTGAATGACCGTGATTGGATACTAAAATGTGCCTTTTTCGAGGCTGTCGTGGGTGTTACAGCTTACGTTGGGAGCACAAGCTTGGAACAGTACATTTTACCATTGATGGTACAGTCGATGGCTGATACGGAGGAATTTGTTGTGGAAAGAGTTCTCCGCTCGCTTGCTGCGATGGCCGATCTCGGACTTTTTCAACGATCGACCACCTGGGATCTCCTTCACATCACAGTGCGTTTCTTGATTCATCCTAACGTGTGGATCCGCGAAGCGGCTGTGACATTCATTGTCAACTCCACCAAGCTCCTATCAGTGGCCGATAAGTATTCTATCCTTACACCACTTATTCGGCCTTTCCTTAAAGTCAACATTGTAGGGTTTTCAGAGGGTGATATACTCGACGCGCTTAAAAAGCCTCTTCCGAGGAATGTATACGAGTTGGCCTTTATATGGGCTTCCAAGGTTGAAAAGGGTATATTTTGGAGAACAGCAAATCTAGAGGGAACCTTCAGCCTCGGTGCGAATGATGGTATCATTCCCAGAGGAAGCCAGAGAAGCTCGAGTTACTCTCTAAACTCGTACTCCAAGAACGAGGAAGACGAGCAGTGGTTGTCTAGACTAAAAAACATGGGGATGAGTTCCGACGATGAGCTTAAGTTGCTCGCGCTCAGAGAATACATATGGAGAGTCACTGCGCGTCAGGTAAAAGAGTCTGAAAATAGGGCCTCTGACTTGAACAACGTCATTGCTTTGACGCAATATGGAGTAACTCCTCAGACCGTTTTCTTTGACAAGAATCAAAATGTGAAGCCACGCAGAGCCTCATTGGCCAAGGACCTACCTAGCAAAACTGGAGAGCGCAGACCACATACTATCACCGATGCTCTACTCGATGCTTCAACTACGATTGATAGTAGACCTAGCTCTCGTAGAAAGCATGCACGTTCAAGAAGTCAACTGCAGAGAGAAATAGGGCCCGTCCTGACTATGCCAAGGCAGGATACTTTGGATACCCTTCGAGCAGCTGAAAGCTCTCCTGCCTCGTCGCCAGTGGCATCATCACCAAGCGCTGCACTAGGATCAGGGCCCTTATCACCTCCTAGCTCAGACACTGAACGAAGACTTACTGAGGGGAGAGATAGCCCTGGGCACGATAGTTCATCGACACCGACTGACGCTGAGAATCCGGTGGTAAGAAGTCTAGCCACTGGTGTACAAAGGAAGTCCAGCGCGATAAGCCTACTCAATCGTAGGGAGTCTGCAAAGGCCTACGCCAAAACCAGTACGAGCTCTGCAAATGCATTTGGCAAAGTCGACATTCCATCACATCGGGGAACGCCGCAGCCATCACCATTGTCCGCTGCTCATGACAGGAAAGCTCTCGAGAATGGGCCACAACAGTATCATGCCAGTCACTCATACGGAGGACATAATCCTGTCATTCTTAGGTTACTCGATAATGTGTTTGCGGAAAACTACCCTACGGACTTCTTTGACCTAGGTCCTTATGTCAAAGAGATAGACACCAGGCGAGCGATCAAGAAAGCCAGCGGCTACGAAACGAGCAAGATATGGAAACCAACTGGTGGACTAGTTGTCATCTTTGGTGAGCATAGTGGACCGGTAAATAGGGTCGTAGTAGCGCCAGATCATGCTTTTTTTATCACTGCCTCGGATGATGGCACTGTCAAAATCTGGGATACAAGCCGTCTTGAGAAGAATTTGACGCCCAGGTCCCGCCAAACCTACCGCCACTCTACCGAAGCTAAGATCAGGTCATTGACATTTGTTGAAAACACACACACTTTCATCAGCGGTGCGACTGACGGGAGTATTCACGCGGTAAGGGTTGACTATAATAACGCCAACGAGACTATTCGATACGGCAAACTCCAACTCGTACGCGAGTACCAACTACCAGCAGCCGAAGATGGAACCGTGGAATACGCGGTCTGGATGGAACACTTCCGTGTAGATGCACAGTCTACACTCCTAATTGCGACGAACACAT